GAGGAGCTCCTGCATAGGGCTGGGCCATGCTGTCCATAACCTCTCTTTGCTTGGTCTGCCTCTGCAGACGAAGCAGCTGCTGTGGCAGTGGACGTAGGGGACCACAAGGTGCAGCTGGTGGGAGGAGAGCAGGTAAGGAGGCTGCCCATCGCTCCCCCAGGGCAGCTCCCAAAATGTCTCCTGCTCTGTTTCAGTCCCTGCAGCTCTGGAGGCAGCTGGAGGAGAAGATGGAGTTTCTGCCACAGGGAAGGGAGGAGATCATCACCTCTGAGCAAGTGACATGGCAGCATCGAGGAGATGTGGTCCTCATGCTGCACAGTGGAGAAGATGTGCACACGGGGAATACGCAGTGGGCACTGCTGTAGAAAGAGAGATGACGGCATGTGTCCTCCAGTACCACCACACTTCATGGCAGGCACACGAAACACTGGGGACTCTGGCTTGGACAACAGGACTGTTCGCAGTGTAAAAAAAGCTGGCAGGAAAGTCCTGGGCTCAGTGAGCTTGTCTGAAGAGCTGCTGCTGCCTTGAGGAGGGAGCATCATGAGCAGCAGTGCTTGGGTACAGCTAAACTGCTGGCTTTAGCCTCCCAGCATCTCTGCAGCCACACGTTTGGCGTTTCCCGGCCATGAAAGACCAAAAGCATCCTGGAGGCAGGGAGGGGGCCAGCCCCAGCAAGCAAAGAAAGAAACAACCCGTTCCTACAAGGAGAAGCCTACAATGGGGCAGCAAGAAGAGATGTCTCAGGCCTGCCCCCTCTCCACACCTGTTTGGGTGCCAGCATATCTGGTCTGGCAGGTGTTGTCTCCCCTTCTCTCTTTTAGGAAAGAGCTGATGATGGGCAAGGAGTTTGCAGGCTTGTGGCAGCTAGAAAGGGAGGCAGATGAAGAAGAGGGAGTACGGGTGATCTCAGGGGCCTCCAGCGGGCTGGGCACTTGGACCCTCTAGCAAGACCCCAGGCAGAGATATCCCACGTGCAGGTGAGATGAAAGCTATGGCCAGGGTGAATGCTCAGCACTGGGTTTTTAAAGCATCTGTGTTTGGATTCGCTGTGTCCCTGGGGCAGGGTCCCTGCTGCTCCTCCACTCCCAGTGCCTGGACAGCGTGAGATGGAAGCAGCTCCTGAGGTGGATGCAATCCCTCTGGAGATGCCCCACGCTCTCCCCTGACACTCTCATGACCTGCACCGGTAACAGTTTAGACTCTTGTTTCCTCATGTCAGCTGTGATGCCACTTCCATGGGGACTGGGTGCATGGGTCACACCTGGGACTCTGCCCATGGGCCTCCCTTTGCCAGCCTTATGCACTTGGCCTCCCAGCCACCTTCACAAGTCAGCCCCTGCATAATGAGCATCTTTGATGCTTAGGATGGTATTTGGGTGTCCATTCATCCATGCATCTACCCATATATCCATTCCTTCCTCCCTCTGCCAACCAATCCAGGCATCCATCTATACATCTGCATGGCTCCTTCCCTCATTCCACGCATCCTTCCCTCCCTGCTGAATCACTGGCCATATGTCCTTGGTATGGGGCGTACCCTTTCCTTTCTCCCCTGCCTCGTGACATATATGTTTCATGCCCCTGTGGCTTCCATGGTCTGCCAGGGGTGCTTTTACTTCTTTCCTTGGCTCAGGACGTGGCAGAGAAGGAAGCAGGAGCAGCCATGAGAGGTAAGTAGAAACTGTTTCGCTTCACAGTCCTGTGCAAGCCGCCTCCTCCCCTGCAAAATGTGGGCTGATCCTGGCAGGGAGGCAGGGCCAGCCCACGTATTTGGCAGGGTCTATGGCAGTCAAGCAGCCCAGGCACTGCTGCACAACTGTCCACAACCGGTGCCCCGCCACAATGGCTTTGGCCCAGGCTATTGCTTTCCCAAACGAGCCCTGTACACAGCTGGGTGGCTGGTGCACCCCAGCCCCTGCCTGAGAGATGCTCTGGATGGGGCCACCCTGCACAGGATGGAGACACGGGGCACGGACACTAGCCTTTCTGCACCTCAGTGCTGGGGACCTTCCCTGGCATGTGGCATTGCCTGCTGGAAATTTTGTGCCCCCAGCAGGACCTGGGCCATGTTCTCCTGCACTTTTCTCCTGTTGGGCTTGGGCTGATCCCTGTCCCATGCCAGGGAGCTGGACCCATCCCTGCTCCTCGTGGATGCAGCCCACAGGCTGCTTTGACCTGGCACAGCCTCAGCATCCCCAAGCCTGCCTTGTACCAGCTCCCCCAGTGATCTTGGCACAGCACCCGTCCTGGGGAGGGTGGGATACAGCAGCAAAGCAAGTTTGGAAGTGCCGCTGCCTACTCCGGGCAGAGTGCGTCCAGGCAGGGCTCCAGCCTGCAGCAGGAAGCCTCCTGCTCGCCCAGCGAGCCACCGAAGAGCCTGAGCCCTGGAGGAAGTGCCCTGGCCCCGCGGTGGGACAGGGAGGTGCCGGCGCTGGGACTGCTCTCATGGTCCCTTCCTGTTTTTCTTCTCCACGGCTTGAAGGCAAAGTTGACTTTGGCATCTGGAGCCCTCTCCTTTATCCCAGATTGCTGTTCACCCCAGCCCTCCCCTTGCATCTTCACTGGTCCAGTGGAAAGCCCTGTTCGCCTATGTCCAGTGCCAGGACATTCTCCCCTGGGGCAGCTGGGAGTGCAGCTCCCAGCACTGAGCATCTTTAGCCCCCTAAGCACTGAACTTGCTGCTTCCTTGGGGTCACCGATGCCCATGTGTCACATTTACAGGCTGCTGGGGCAGGGAGCTGAGCCATGGGGCATCCCAGCAGGCAGCCGCAGTGTGGGCAGGACTTTGCGGTGGTGTGCAGACCCTTCGCCTGCTCTTGGTATCTCCAGCTGCCAAATGGGTGGCAGGTCCCGTCTCTAAAGCTTCCATCAGAGAGCAAAGGGGTCACCCTCCAGGGCCAAGGGCAGCAGGATGCAGTGATGAGGACCAGATGTGCATCTCCTGCCCTCAAGCTGCCCTAGTCACCAGAACTGCGTGTCCCCACCGCCCGGCCAGGCAAGCCCCAGCTAAGGAAGGGGACACAGGGCTTGGCACATGGGGACAGCACAGCTGTGGGTCCCCTCTGCCTGTCATTTCTCATCTGCCCACCTGAGCTTGCCTGCACAATGCAGGCACACATTCCCTTGTGGATGTGCAAGGCTCTGGTGGTCTCTGCTCCCCCAGCCAGCAGCAACCCCCTTCTGTTTGGAGCACGTCTGGACTTTCTGGAGTTTATAAGCAGGCAGGATATGGGGGCCAGAGCCGCCTGCGCACATTCTCTCCCATTTTCTGGCCGTTGCGCTCCTGCATCTCAAGCAGGCGTCAGCCTCTAAAGCAGCACCAGGTGCCAGGAAACACACTAAGCTCAGTTTGCAAATGCTGGAGCCACAGCTATGAGACGGACATCACCCGTGTTCAACAGCACCCTATGGACAACCACAGCCCTGATCCCCTCCATAATGGCAGAGGAGTGGGATCTGGTGGTGATAAGAGCAGGTTTTCAAGAGGAAAGGGCTGCCCATGCCATGCTGGGGACCGAGGGGAGACAAGGGTGACTGTGACACATCAGAAAGGGTGCTGGCTGGGTTGGATGACGGGGATCAGAGTCCAGCAGGTGATGGCAGGCGTGACACAGCTGGAGCTGGCAAGTTCTGGGATGCACCTGGGAGAGGGGATGTGGCTGTTGGGCTCAGAAGCCCAGGCAGGATCTGGCCCCTTATACCTCTCCAGCTTGGTGACCTGCTTTACTTGCTCCATGGAGAGCCCTGCTCCTGTCCAAGGATGGTGCCCCTCCAGTAGTACACCATGGCAAGTTCGGATGCACCTGGGAGAGGGGATGTGGCTGTTGGGCTCAGAAGCCCAGGCAGGATCTGGCCCCTTATACCTCTCCAGCTTGGTGACCTGCCTTACTTGCTCCATGGAGAGCCCTGCTCCTGTCCAAGGATGGTGCCCCTCCAGTAGTACACCATAGATGGAGGGCTGACCCCCATCTCCCCATCCAGCGTGACTGTGCTCACCAGGGGCAGCGAGGGGCTGGGACCCTGCAAAGTGAAGCACCGGCACGGGCAGCTGCCATGCCCCCACACCCAGGGTGGGAGTGTGGGGGCACCCAGCGAGGGCAGAGGGGTCTGCCATTGCAAAAGGCACAGCCAAGCACTGTGGCAGTGCACCTAGGGTGGGAGTGCGGGGACACCCAGCGAGGGCAGAAGGGTCCATGGGCACACATGCCATTGCAAAAGGCACAGCCCTGTCCCGGTCCCCTCCAACCCAGTTCCCACGAGGACCCTTTTGGGAGGTTCCCCCCTCCTCCAGGCTCCCTCTGCACCCCGGGTTCAAGGGAAGCCCCGGGGCCCAGCTGGGAGTGACACATCTCCCCGGCAGGGCGGGCGCAGGGTCCCACCCTGCGCTGGCTCTGCTCCCCACGCTCCCCGCGCCGCCGCTGCCTGAATTTCCACCCAGCCCCATCTGGATCTCATCGGGCTGCTGGCGCTGAGCACTGGGGTCGGAAGGTGCCAACACATGGAAGCCATTAGAGGGGCTGGGTCGAGGCGCGGGGAGGGGGCCACATGCCGAGCGAGGGGGGGCTGTGCAGAGGGTCCTGTCCCTGCTGCTGGGCTGGTGAGGGCCCTGCTCCCCCCCCTTCCCGCGCCGCCGCTGCCTGAATTTCCACCCAGCCCCATCTGGATCTCATCGGGCTGCTGGCGCTGAGCACTGGGGTCGGAAGGTGCCAACACATGGAAGCCATTAGAGGGGCTGGGTCGAGGCGCGGGGAGGGGGCCACATGCCGAGCGAGGGGGGGCTGTGCAGAGGGTCCTGTCCCTGCTGCTGGGCTGGTGAGGGCAGGGGAGATGTCCTAGGCAGCTGCCTGCATCCTCTTCTGGCACTCAGCAAGGGCTGGCCCGGGCGAGAGTCTCTCTCAGCCCCTCCAGGCTCCTGGGGAGGGGGCTGACCTGTTTGGGGACCAGCCCTGCTGCCTGTGCACCTCCTGCAAGGACCGTCCCCAAGCTGGCATCTGACCCAGTGCCACTCACCTCTCCCCTGGCCCAGCACCATCTGCAAGGAGGTCTTGCCTGGGCAGTGCCAACGCTATCCCCTTTATTGGTATCACTGCTCTGTCCAGCCACAGCATGGGGGTGAGGGGCAGAGGGACGGGGGGGGGTCCCTTCTGCCTGCTGGAGGCTGGTTGGGGGATGACGGGCAGGGCTCAGCACCCCCTGCTCACTGATGCCCGGCATCCCTGGGAGCCTGCACCCACGGCCCCCTCGACACTAGGCAGTGAAGTAGGGCTGGCTCAGCATCTCATCCCCATGTGTTCAGCAGCACCCGGCGGTGGGGCCGGCCCGTTGCCCTGAGTCCGAGGTCCTCCAACCGGCTCCTGGCCTCCAACCGGCTCCTGGCCTGCTCCAAAGCTCCTGGGAGCAGAGCCTCTCTCCTTAGGGTCCATCCTGCACGCCCAGAATGCTGGGGGCTCTGGCAATGTCCATGGCCATGGGAGGCGTGGGGTCCTTGGGGGCCAGCAGTGGCATCAAGTCCCACGCGTGGGCAAGCAGGTGCAGGGAGCAGGGATCGGCCAGGGCTCACTACAGGATCTGAGCCTCTGCTGAGAGAGAGGGCAGGGGGTCAGAGGGGGCACTGACCTGCACCCTCTCCTCCCCTGCATCCCCCCCCATCACACCCCCTACCCCGACTCACTCGGCAGTGCCTTCAAGTGGGTGGCAGCAACCAAGAAGTTGTGGGGTTTGGTCTCGTCCTTGCTGTGTTTCCTCACCCGGAGCCTGGGGATAGAGCAGCAGTGGCTGAGGACCCTGAGCAGCCCCCCCGGGCACTGGGACTGCCCACATCCCTGGCGATCCCACTCTGCATCCCCAGCCAGATGTGCCCAGCTGTGCCCAGCTGCTCCAGCGCATCAGCTCCAGGGCTACAGCAGGAGCTGGTCATGAGATTGGGCAGGGGTGGGCTGGGGACAGGGACGGACAGCAGAGCCACAGCACGGCAGGGAGAGCCCAGCAGTGGCAGGATGAGAGGGGACCTGGGGTCAGGACAAGCAGGCAGTGCCCAGGGCAGGACTCCCAGGGGGCAAAGGCATATGGAGGGGTCTCTGCGCTGACCATGGAGCAGGAGAGTCCCCAGGAAGGCAGGAGGCTTTGGGGGATGTTAGTAACAGCAGTGTCTTTGGGGGATACAGAGAAAGGTCCCACGGTTGTGGGCTCATCAGAAAGACCCCAGGCACGCTGGGCAGCACTGAGCCGGTGGGGTGTGCTGGGAAGAGGCATTGATGTGGCAGGGGGGCAAGGGGAGCATGAACCACCTTATGGGGCTGGCATCAAGTCTGTTTGCGCAGGGACCCCAGAGCACGGCTGGGGGGACATGGGGCACCCCATGCTGGGGTTTCGGGGGCCAGAGCGGGAATCACGCAGACCCCTCCCTCTCAAAACCCAACCTACCAGATGAGGATGGTGATGACGAGAACAGCAGCCAGTATGAAGAAGGCGAAGATCCCGAGGGACACCAGGATGGCCACCTTCTCCAGGGGGTCGCTGCGGTCTGGGATAGAGAGACTGTCACAGCCGAGGGATGCCACATCCCCCAGCACCCGGGGGACCCTATTGCAAGCTCCTGGGTACCCCAGCACCCCAGACACACACGGGCATGGGGCAAGAGACCCTTCCCATAACTCTCAGCCACGCATGGCAGTCCCCACTCCTGCCACCTCCAGCTCTACTCACCGATGGGCTCAGGGTTGGGAGCCTGGGAGGGCTCCTCGGCCAGGCTTTCCAGGCTGGCGTCTGTAGTGGTTTCTTCACTCGCCATGGTAGCCGGGTCTGGAAGGATAGAGGGGATGGGAATCACTCACCCAAAATCATGGGCAGCACTCCAGGGACCCACAGAGAGGAGCAAAGAAGGGTGCCGCTGTGCCCCAGGGGTCCCACGAGCCGAGGGGTGCCCCCAGGGTGCTACTGCTGCTGTGGGATCCCCGCTTTGCCCCGAGGCTGTGGGAAGCAATCCCCAAACGGCAGCAGCACAGCTGCAGCCTGCCGTGGGGTTGGGAGATGCTTTGCCCCCTTGCAGCTCTGCCTCCCACCGTGAGGCCAGTTTTTGGACAGTGCATGGGACCAGCTTTTTGGGTCAATTTTAAGGGACCCCAGGAGCTGGGGCTTGCTCTGGATGATATTTCAGGCAATGGGTGCCATGGGGAAGGGTCTGGAGAGGGGCAGCCCAGGGTGCTGGAGGGGCTTTGGGGAGGGATGGCACAACCTGGTAGGGGTGCTGGGGGCTTTAGCCTGTCCCCCTCGCACCTCTGACCGGCGTCGCCCGGGCCTCGGCACTCCACTCGCTCCAGTTCCCTGCATCCAGGAAATCCTTGGCGCTGACTTGGACCACGTGCTCCAGCCCAGCAAAGGCGTCCGTGATCACCTCGGAGAGGTTCACCGTCTCCACCTGTGCTGGGCAGAGGGGAGCTGTGGGGCAGGAGGGTGCACCCCTCGCTGCCCTCCCTGTCCCCGTGTCCACCCTGCTCCCACGCCAGCTTTGCCTTCCCTCACCCACCGCTTACCACGGACCAGGAGCGGTGGATGATGGGCCGGTACTGGAGCCGAAACCTGAGCTGGAAGTGGGGCTCCTTGGGCCAGGAGGAGGGGTACTTCCAGCTCACGTGGAGCCGCCGCGGGGCCAGGGGGATGGGCTCCACCACCAAGCCCTCTGGAGGGTCCGGCTTAACTGCGCGGGAGAGGACAGGGAGCCCTCATCACACCGCACTGCCTTGCAGAGGGGTGCTGTGCTCCCCGCTGCCACCCGGGGCTGGATGCCCGGGGGATGGACAGACACGGGGACGGACAGACAGACAGACGGGGACTCACTGATGGCTTGCATGGTGACGTCGAGGAGGCGGAAGCTGGAGCCCAGTGGGTTCACCTCGGTGATGTTCAGGCGGTAGGAGCTCCAGAACTCCGACCCGTGGACAGTGCAGGTGCCAGGGCGGGACAGATCCTGCAGGCACGGCCCCACGTGCCCGTTCTTGTTCCTGCAGATGGGGAGGCAGGGTGGTGACGTGTCCCCCCAGCCCACCACGCATAGTTTCTCGGTGCTACACAGGCGGTGCCATGTGGAGACACCCCCATGCCAAGAGCCCAGTGGAGGAGGCAGCCCCCATTACGGCTCAGGCAGGGTCTGGGGAGCTGCCCTCACCCCTCCAGAGCCCGGCACATCCCTCCGAGTGTGACTGAAGTGACACCCATCCCAGCCCCACAGTCCTTCCCTCGAAGGTCCCTCCCTGGGGCAAACCCTTCTCCCAGGCCCCAAGATTTGGGTAGCTGGTTCCCCCATGGGGACAACCAGCCCTCATCTCGGGGATGCCACTGAGGACAGCGGCAGAGCCTTTGGGACAGGGGCCAGTCTCCAGGGCATGGGACCAGGGTGGGAGCCAGTCCTACCTCCGCTTCTCTTCGCCTGTCAGTGATTTCTTCCTGCCACAGAGAGACGGAAAAGCAGACAGTGAGGATGAGGGGACAGCATGAAGCCAACCCCACCGTGACTCAGAAGAGGGACAGGGGTCTTTGCACCAGTCCTGGGGGCCTGCTCTGCTGCACCCCACTACCTGCATTGATGCACGTGGTCGGCACAGCACGGGGGATGGAGCTAACACCATGCCCAGCCCTGTCAGCCAGCAGCCTGGCAGCAGGAGCCGGGGTTCCCAGGGGAATGAGACAGCGAGGTGCCCAGGAGGGTCCTTCTCAGAGGAGCCCCTTGCCCAGCCAGGGTTTTATCATGCAGCAGCAGCAGAGGTGCAGGGATGCTGATAAAAGCAGCTCCCCAGCAGCTGTCTTCGCCCTCCACCCTACGGCCCCCAAATCCCCTTGCTTCCCACCGCCTCCTCCCTGCTGAGCCTCCATTGCTCCACGTGGCCCCTTCCCCGCTGAGCCCCCAGCCCCCCGGCTCCTGCAGCTTTCAGCAGGGCTGTGCTTTATGGGCTACGGCTGACTTCAAAGCAGTCCGCTAATTTGGCCTGCCAGTATAATTAGAAGCAGCGATGCTGTCAGGGCTCCTTTCATCCTGAAGCATGCCGAAGCGCTCGGCAGCTTGCAGATGACCTGCTTCTCCTTTATAGTCCCTCTGGTGCTGGCAGAGCCATCGGCAAGGAGGGAGCCTGCCTGTGCTGGCCCCTCAACTGTGCTGGGGGGCCCCCCTTGGAGCAAGCAAATGTTCAGCACTCTGCTCACCCCAAAACATGACCTGCTCCAGGCTGCAGCACGGTCCTTGGGGCAGGAGGTGAACCCAAGGCGTGGGTCAGATGGCCAGCAGGATTTGGTGGTCATCCTTGGCCAGGACCCAGGGCTCACCACGTAAACCCCCCAGCCCGTGCCCTGTAGGGATACATCACCTGTAGGTCGTGATGTATCTGGTGGGGAGGAAGGTCTCCACACTGGAGGTCCAGGAGCAGGAGAAATTCTCGTAGTCGGACGCTCTGCAAGACACAAAGGGGACCCCCGGCAGGTCTGGGGTCCGGGGGGAAGCGATGGTCAGCGAGGGGTCCCCCATCCCACAGCCCAGCTGGCACACAGGGACCCCTGTGTCACCGCGAAGTCCCCTCTTGGCAAGCCCCTGCCAGGGGTGCCATCCTGGTGGGGCTGCACACCCCCCATACCCCAGCCTGCAGACACGCTACTCACACCCCAGCCGCAGGGACACGGCGTGCAGGAGGCCACTGTCCTCGTCGTGGCAGCTGTAGGTTCCCGCGGTGGCCAAGCTGGCACGTGGCAGCACCAGGGCTCCCTGCTGGATGGCTGAGCCCTCCGGCAGTGCCACGGCACCCGCCCGTCTCCATTGCACCGGTGAGCTGGGGAGGAGAGACCGGGCAGGCAGCGTTAGAGGACAGGGATGACGGGGTCACCCCAGGCCCACCCTGTAAACCATCCCATCAGATAAATCCCCCGGTGTGCATGGAAAACACCTACCCGGCATGGGCACCGGTGCACGACAGGGTCACGTCTGTCCCCACCTGTCCGTACTGCACACCTGGAGGGATACACACATCCCCAGATGGGTGTTAGCACCCCGTGCCACCCCACACCAGGGCTGGGGGTTGAGTTAGGCAGCCTGGGGCTGTACCCGCTTGGAGAGCTGGGCACTGGCTGGGGGGTCTTACTTCATGCAGGTACCACCACGGGGGACTGGGAAGGACTGGTCCCAGTTGGGGCTGGGCAATGGGCAGCTACAGGGGGGCGCTGGCCAGAGGACACCCATCGCCATGGGGCTGCGTTTCGTGTACACCCTGACTCTGGTTGACCTGTGCCTGCCTGGGGGGAATGGGGTGTCCCCAGGGTCCCCATGCCTGGGACATGGGGGGGTGTGCGGGGGGGTTGTGCGGGGGGGCTTGGGGGGGGGCTCACCTTCCTCTCCCCAGCCCTCGGGGACGGCGAGGGAGGCTGACGCCAGGGCTGCCGCGAGGAACACCATCACCCTGCCCAGGCCTGGGATGGGACTGCGCATCTGGAGGAGGCAGAGTGGGGAGGGAGAGGGTGTTATCCCCTGCAATGGGGTGGCCAGCAGGGTCCACAGCCCAGAGCACCTCTGCAGGACCATGGACCCCGCATCTCCCTCTCATCTCACCCCATCCTGCCGGGGACAGCACGGGGACTGTAACACCAGGACCCCAGCTAGGACAGCTGGCAGGGTCTGTGCCACTGCCACAGCTGGTTCCTGGCTGCTGAGGAGTCCCCATGCCTGGAGGGGGGACACAAAGGGCAAACACTGACCAGGAGCTCGGGGCTGCGTGGGTTAGTGGGATTAAGGGCTCTTTGCCATTGCAGTCCTGTGCCGGGAGCCCTGGCTGGCTCCCAGCCCCGGGATGGTCCAGAAACCTGCGCCTGTGCAGCTGGAGCGGGAAGGGACCGAGGAGAAATTCTGGCCTGTATTTACGTGGCAGGAGACAGCAGTTAGATCTGAACAGGCTCACACAGCCAGGGAGAGCCGGTCTGTGAGAGTTCAGACCGTACCGAGAGTGGGGCTGGCTGGTGGTCCTGCGTCACTGCCCATCCCTGCACCCGCTGCAGGGCTGGTCTGTGCAGGTCTGTGCCCTTACGGGCCATTTGGGCTCTCTGGAACCAGGGAGAATGGCCCTGGAATCCCTTCCTCCCACTCAGAGATCACCAGTGGGTCTGGGGCGAGAAGTGCGGGGGATGCTGAGTCAGGGATGTGCACCCAACTCTCCACGGGTCAACCCCAGCCACAGGCCAGGGTCTCCCCACCATAGCACAGCCAGCATCACCCTCTCTGTGCCAGCCAGCATCACCCTCTCCATCCCAGCCAGCATCACCCCGAGGTGTCCACCCCAGCCTACATTGCTCTGCACACACCAGCCAGCGTCACCCTGGCCAACCCAGCCAGCATCACCCTGGCCATAGCAGCCAGCATTGCCCTGAGGTATCAGTCCCAGCCTGCATCATCCTGCACATACCAGCTAGCATCTTCCTGACTGTGCCAGCCAGCATCACCCTGTCCATCACAGTCAGCATCGCCCTAAGGCGTCTGTTCCAGCCTGCACTGTCCTGCACACACCAGCCAGTGTCACCCTGTCTGTACCAGCCAGCATCACCTCAGGACGTCCATCCTGGCCAGCATCACGCCATCCATAGCAGCAACATCACACCGTCCCTATCAGCCAGCCTCGCCTGCCCCCAGCAGGCACAGACAGCTGAATCATTTCTCCCTGGAAGACGCCCCTGCCCACCCCTCATGAATGGGCAGGCCTGTTTATTTACACCCATATTGTCGGGCTCTGCTCCCGGCTGCAGGTGGGCAGGGGCTGAGGGCATGGGAGGTAGTGAGCTCCCTGCCAGTCCCAAACACAGGCTGCAGCTCGTGGGCATAAATCTGTGCAGTGAGCTCCCTGCCAGTCCCAAACGCAGGCTGCAGCTCGTGGGCATAAATCTGTGTCCCCCCGAGTCACCCGGGTTCAACAGCCGAGGGGTTCCAGGGAGGGATGCTCCAGCCCTGCAAAGGCACCCCAGAGCAGCTGCCAGTTCCCCTCCTGCAGGCAGGTGCCCATGGCCGCAGACCAAAATGCATGGCAAAGGAAACGAGACCTACAAGGCGATGAGCTGCAACCCAGAGAGTGCAGGGGGGTTGCATCAACCCTGTCCTGAACATGCCAGTCAGCCTCAAACGCAAGCCCCAAACGTAAGTAATTTCATGAGACTGTCATAAGCTTTTCCTACCAAACCACCCATAGAAATGTTCCCAAGAAACATCAGTTAAAAGGTCTCTGCCAAAATTATCCTGGTAACTAACTGGGAACATTTGGCCTGAAAGTAAAATATTTTGGTGATGAAAAAAAAAAGACTTAAAATACACTTAAAAGCAGCAAGCAAAAATAACTCCAAACACCACGTGGGCCAGAGTTAAGGGGACAGTGCTGAGGGGGGGCCAGGGAGAAGGGAGAGTGTGTTAGTGTAGAGAGAGAAATAGTTTTAAAATAAAATCATTTCTTCTCCCGACCGCCCTGGGTTTTTGGGCAAACGCTGCGGAGGGTGAAGGCAGAGCTGCTGCACCCATCGCCCACCGTGCCGCTCTGTGGCAGGGGGATATGCTCTGGGCGCTGGCTCACTGCTGACACGAGTTTGCTAGCTCTCAGGGTCGCTGACTGGCTCAAGGCCAGTGTGGAAAAATGACCCTGCAGCTGTGATGCTGAAAGGCATCTTTCCCTGCACGGACAAGGGAAGAGCTGGGGGCACAGCACAATTTGCAGCCAGCTGCTGCTCACATCCCCGGGGAACAGCGTAAGCCCTGCCCGGCCAGCCTGGCTGCGGGTGGTATTGCCAACAGACCCAGAGGCACCCCAGACCCCTACATGGTGGCAGAGGGCATCTCTGCAGACCCCATCCCCAGCTGCATCCCAACCCCTGACCTCCATGGTGACCCCCCCAGTTGTCCCCCACCACTCACCCTGAGGGCCACCCTGCACCCTCCCACCCTTCAGCACCCTCTGTCCCAGGGCCCCCCCAGCGCTCCCCATCCTCACCCCAGAACTCCATGAGCTTCCCTGCCTCGGATGGGCTTTTTGGGCAGCTGCCCACCCCTGCCAGTGCAGCCTGGGGGAAGGCAGCACCGAGTCCCCCCCCAGACACACACATTGGCTTAGTAAATGACCCGCCTGAGCATTGCCAAAACCTAGCCACAACCGAGCATCACCGCAGAGAGAAGAAACAGGGCAAGTCCTTCCTCGCCTGCCCGAAGGCCACAAACAAAAGAGGAAGGAGCCGCAGCGCAGGGGAAGACCCGGAGCCCTTACCCACCCTGGGTGCGGCGGCGTGGCAGGGGGCCAGGCGCTCCGGGACAGGCAGTGCTGCAAAACAGCCTGCCCAGAAAGGATCCCCTTACTTTCTGCAACCAAACTCCCTCACCGAGAGGAAAACAGGCGTGCAAATGAACGCACACGCACGTGCGTCGCCAGGCCGCCTTCCTTAGCGGCTCTGCACCCCCACGGACGGGCACACAAGCGGAGAAAACATCCCTCCATGCTTGCACTGTTGGTGACACATCCTGGGGACAGGGAGTCCCGGCACAGTGGTGCTGGAGCCAAGCCGGGACAGAGGGAACAATTGGAGCTTTTTTTCCCTCCCGCATGCTAATCCCGGCCCAAGAGGCATCTGCTGCCCGCCTGGGGTGGGTGACCTCCTGCGGCCACAGCTGGGGCAGAGGGACTCAGCCCAGCCTGGGGCTGTGGCCTGGCCCTGGCAGGGAGGGCAGCGGCGCTGGACTCTGCTCCCTTGGCACGGGACGCTCTCGTCACCGGCACGGCCAGGGTGACCAGGCTGTGTGTGGTGCCTGTGGATGTTAGCCAGAAATGCAAGGTGCCACTCTCCATCCTGCACCGACCCTGCTGTCCCGCTGGGCATCATCTGAGCTCATCCAAAAGTTTTTGGGGAGCTGCGGGGAGAAAACCTGCCGTGAGCCCCTTCCTGCATCCAAACTGAAATGCTGTGAGCCAAAACATCCCCCAAAATCACAGCCATGTGCAGCGGCACCGATGCCCATGTGGGGTGTGACGGTCCCCCCGCCACAGCCTCTCTGTGCCATGCCCCGTCGTGGCCTGGCAAAGCCCGGAGCAGATTCCTGGGGGAGGCCAACTTTCCATTGCGCATGGCGCTTTGAAAGACAGTGGGTTTGTTTTTTTTTTTGCTTTGCTTTATTTGAAGTTGCTCTTCAAAGAGAATGAGCCGCACGCAGAGCTGGGGGTGGCGGGGGACACACACACACAAGCAGACAATGCGATGCCGCAGGGCTGAAGATGACAGAGGGGAGACACGGGATGCTCCCCACCGAGCACAGAAAGCTGGGGTGCCTCCTAACCTCTCCCCAGGGTGGTCCGGGGCAGCATTGCTGCAACAGAGATGTGGCAAATAAAACAACCCAAGGGCACTTGGCAGCTCTGCCCACTGCGTGCTGGGCCCTGCCAGAGTCACTCACCTGCAAAAAGCCACTCTGCAATGGGCGATGCCTGACGCTGGCTGGATCTAATGCCCTAGAGATGGCATCACACTGTACCCCTGCCCCTCAGCTGGGGGAGCATCCCTGGCTCCGCGCCCCAGACCCTCCTCTCTGCCAGTGCCTGCTGTGGGAAACACGTCCCGTGGCCAAGGGCGGTGGTGTTTTGAAGCAGCAGGAATTCCCCTCTTCTTGCTTTCCTGCAGGGTTGGGAGCACAGTGCCCCACTAACCCCCTCTCCTCCTGGCAGCCCTGCAGAAGCGCTGTGCCCCGCTCTGAGGAGCCGCGGCATGGCCTGAGTCCTCCCCCGTGGCTGCTGATCTGCCCAGAAACCCGGCAGCATCCCACCCCTGCAGCATCGGTGACCTCCATCACCATTGCATCAACATGCACCTTTGGGGCCAGGGGGAGTATCAACCCTGCTACTGGGACAGTCCCCCGCAACCAGCCACCCCTGTCCCCTAAATGCCGCTGGCACCCTCCCAGCCGCTGGGTGCCTGGAAAAAGCCCAGCAATGGGTGCTGACAGGGAGGGAAGCATGTCCCCCACCACCTCCAGGGCCACCAGGGCCATGCACAGTCCCCAGGACCACTGGCAGCGCCCGGGGGCAACTTCTCACCCACCTTGGGCACTGCTGGGGTGATGCTCCCCAAGGCCAAGGGCAGAGCCCCGCTCGCCGTGCCCAGCCCTTCTGGTGCCTTGAGGACCTCAAAAAAGGGCTGCTTTCCTCTGCACCGCTTTGGTGGGGTGCTGAGCACCCACAGGCCCCCATGCCTGCTGGGGCGGGCACCATGCCAGGCTGAGCTGAGCCAGCACACACACATGCACAACTGCAGTCAGTCCAACCCCAGCACACTGGAATTACCCCAGTTAAACCAGTAAAACCAGTTGCAGCCTTCCCCTGTGAGGCCAGTGCAGTCCAATAAGCCTCGCGCGCAGCCTCAACGCGGGGCTAAACCCAGTAGTCCCAGTGTGGGGCTTAACTCAGGGCAGCCCAAACATAGGATTATACCCCACGCA